TACTTATTGTCAGTGTTGGGGAAAGTTACTTTTAAAAGTAATGCATTACAATATTGCGTTACTCCATAAAAAAGTAACTAATTACGTTACTTAGTTACTTTTTATGGAAAGTAATGCGTTACGCTACTTTTGCATTACTTTTTAAATCTGGACAGGGCTTTCTTGTTTGTTTTTAAAATAAAAAAGTTATATTTTTGGCAAATATAAAAGCCTTTTCACACCAAAAGTGAAATAAATAAGCCTCAGGCTGAAGGGAAAGTACATTTACGTCCGTACAGTAGATTGCAGAAGAAATTTCAACATACTTCAGCAATAAAAAAAGACACACAAATGTTTGTCTAGAGTAATTTGTGCTTATTAGTATGGTTGAACTGGATCATCGAAGGTCAAAGGCAAAGACATTGGTTAATAGAATGGGATAAAATACATAAAGCATATTTGTGTTGTTTAACATTTAATTATTGCAGGTTTGCATCATATTCTGAGTTGCATTATTTTTATTCATTTTGAGGAATACTGAATCTGTATTTTTTTTTTTTGTAAGTGAGATGAATGAATGCATATTCATATTTATTTTAGAACTACAGTAACATCTGTTCCCTTTCAGTCGGTCACTCTCGACGTCACGTCGGAGGACCGACGAAATTGGGATCTCGCTTAGAGGGACCAATCTACTTCGAGTGTAAACTAAACGAGCCAATGCACATTGGCATGCCATTATTGCATCCAGCTGCTGCTGATCACAGCGTGAGTATAAGTAGGCAGCAGGTGCAGCGTATATTCAGCTTTTCGCTTCGGAGCCAAGCGATCACATCGTTCTGCTCCTGACTACTCTACTGAGAGAAAAGACTGAATGAGTTCAGCGCGCTCTTGGAGAGCTCTTCGTGTTGGTGGACGGCGCTTCAGCGGTGGTGGTTTCCCGTGTCGAGTGGGTTGCACACATCAGGCTGCACTACCCCCTGTTTGTGTTGCAGATGATCATCTCCCCTGTGCGCCTCAGCACGCTAAAAGAGCTTTTTCCCCTAAAAGAGCAATTTCGGGTGCGTCTTTTTAAAGACGACGTTGCTTGGCAAACTTGACGTTACGTCTTTATAAAGACGATGTGGGTCTTGCTATAGACAACGTATC